AAAAAAAAACTACCTTCTTACGTGAGCAAACAATAAACTAAAAAAATCGCGTTTTACCAAATATAAGTGTTGTTCAAAGTTCATTGTAGATCTACCTGTGATTTTCCATAATAATTAACCAATCAAATTACAAGATCTAATATGACCCTTGTGTCACAAACTTAAAAATTTCAAAGTTAAATCAGGATTAAGGTTTGCTACGTATTAGATTAGAAAGAGCCTTCCTAATACCAAAATTTCGCAAGGAAAACTTTTTTTAGGTTGTTTTGATTTTTTGCATTTTAAAGTACTTTTTTACGAGGCTTATGTAGCCAATTTCTCTATGAATATAAATAAGTCTAAAGTCAAACCTGAAGCTTTTCTTACTGCATTCTAATAATATTGATTGAATCCACCAATAGTGATATAAATCGAAAATCGATTAATCGGTTAGTTGGCTGAGTTGGCAACTAATTGATTAACAATTTTGACCCAACTATTAATCGATTAACTAACTAATCGATTAATCGATTAACTATTAATCGATTAATCGTTTAATCAGTTAGTTGGTTTTATTTTAATTAGCTTTTTAATAAAATTTTTATCATATTTATATTCAGTATTATTATTAAATTAATCGATTAATCGATTAGTTAGCAATAATCGATTTGTAATCGATTTTTTAAAAAATTTTCAACCAACTAATTGATTAAAATATTTGTTTCGATTTGTATCACTATCCACCAACTTTTATATGACAATTTACTCTTCGAAGATGTATAAGTAATTTATGAAATACTACACAACAAATTTTAGACGTTGAGCAATAAAAACTAATAAAAAAAGTTAGAAGCATGATTTAACAAAGTAGCATGGATTTGAGTATTAGTTTATGATTGTATTTCTATGTATACGTTTTATAAAAAGTTTTTAAAAACTTAACTAACTATATATCATTTTTATATTTTTATAAGATAGAATCAAAAATATATATACCATATTTTTGTGGAATAACGCTCATCTGCACGTTATTTTGAGTATATGCGTGTTATTTTGAATATGCGCATAGGCATTATTTTGAGACAAATGTAAAAATTTTAAGCATCTTGTCTAAAACAAAAAATTTTTCAGAGCTAGGTTTATACTAAGTGAATCTAGCTCCGGTGCATTTGTTCTAAATAAGCACCCCTTATTATAAGATGCGCGTTATTTCGGGACGCGTATAGGCGTTATTTTGAAGCTATATATGTTATTTTTAAGGGCGCAATCTTTGAAATGATGTTCATCAGCGTTATTCTGCAAAAATACGGTACGTATAAAACTTTAGAACTTTTATTAGAACAACTGTCATATTACTGTAATAGAGAGACTATGATTTCTGATAAAAAGTTATTAAAAAGGATTATAATGAATATGAGATCTCATACCATCTGTGCATAAATGCTCTTTTTGATGCATTTATTTGTTTAACTACCACTAGAAAAATGTGACGTTTTGTGGGCTGGGGCTCTAGTTATTAGAAAATGGGACAGAATTTAAATTAATAAATTGCAATATACTGATATTATTCTTGTTTGAAATGCATATTTGTTATAATATCTGTAATCGGTTAAAAGAAAAAGAACCATAAAAAAGAATATCAGCGAATATGAAATATAATCTCAGTTGTGAGTACTTTATTTTAAGATTTATTGTATATCAAAACTTATAAATTGTAGTTGCCCAAGCAAGATATAAAAATAAATTACAGTACATGCAAAAGCAAATTCTTTATTTTTTTTCTAAGACAAAATTTTAATAGATTGGATTGGTACTACTTGGTTATTATACATGTGGTCAAAATGTTTCGATCATTTTGGCCATGTTCAAAGCAAAGTTATCAACAATTTGTAAATATGATAGAAATTAGGCTTCATATATGTTAAGCCAGATCCGCAAAACTTTATGCAAGCCCTTTTTGTATTTTGGTAAACCTTTTGGTATTTCGGCAGACTCTAAAAGTTTTGGCTGAATATTAAGTATGGATTTTCGAAAATTCCAGAGTCTGCTGAAATACCAAAAGGTCTTGCTGAAATACAAAAAAGGCTTGTATAAGATTCTGCGGATCTGACTTAATATATATGAAGCCTAATTTTTATCACATTTACAAATTATTTATAACTTTGCTTTAAATATTTGCCAAGTGGTCGAAATGGCCGAAACATTTCAACCATATGTACCGGGTGGACGAAAAGTCTTTAAACAGACTCTGTTTTTTTTTAATCACTAAGAGACATTTATAATTAGTAATCATTACAATATTTTCGTAAATTGTATATATAAATCTTAGCGGATGGGTTTTTTAGAGACTTTTCCGATATCACCAAAAAAAAACTTTTTAGCCAACCAAAATTTAATTTTTAAAACAATTTTCAATTTTCGAGTGATTAATAGCGAGATTTGATTGGCTATCATTTATCATTTTATTCATTATTTCATTTTATTCTTAATAATGGAAGTATTCATCATCCTTGGGGATCCTATTTAGAGACTTTCACCTACCCGGTATATTGGTTATGATCCTTAGCCACTGTTTTTAGTTTTGCGCGATGCTAATTTGTTCAAGTAGAATCTCATTAAACGACGTAGACCAAAACAAAATAAACACATAAATATGTACTGTACGTACATATGTAAATAGTTATCATCTCTTTTCTTTATCCTTTACTACCCTTTTTTTTTATCTTTTCTCTATCCTTTTTTTCTTTACTTTCACTTTTATTTTTTTTTTTGTCTTTTTTTTTTTTACTTTTCGCTATTTATATCTTTTCTCTTTTTTTAGTTTGTTTTTTTTTTTTGCTTTTTTCTTTTTTTATTTTTTTTGCCTTTTCTCTTTTTTTTTTACTTTTCGTCATTTGCATTTTTTCTTCTTTCCATTTTTATTTATTTATTTTTTTATCTATTTTTTATTTATTTATTTTTTTAATTTATTTATTTATATTTGATCAAGATAATGTACATTATTTATATTTCAGTTATATAGTAGATAAGCACTGAAATGTAAAAAAACACAAAGTAGATGTCATCTGTGCCAAGCAATAATGGCTAATGGCCTATATAATCTTTATTTAAAACATACATTATTTGATAAGGTCTACTGATTTTCGACAAGGAGGGAAATCAGTTATATATCTTCCTTATCACTTGATCAAATTTTTTGGATTGTATCGTGACCATTATATGATCGCCAATTATTTCTTAGATTGCTGATCATCTTTTACTTAGATAAGTATTTTTTTTTTGTTGTTTTTTTTTTTATTTTTTTTATTTTGAATTTAACTAATATTTTTGTAACAATTCTAGCATATAGTGATGCAAAACGACTCGATCGGCTTATATGTAGTATAATAAAAATCAATTAATCAATAGAAGCAGAAAAATTTTTGGAAAATCATAGGTTTGGTCATAAGTCATTGAACTAAGCAGCCAATTAACAAGTATTTTTCATATATTACAATTTCATTTATAGTTTAACTTCGAAATAAATTACCTGTGTTGTAAAGAAATCAGACTATTCACTCACAAGTAATAACAGCTTTACAATTTTAAAAAACTTATTTTAGAAAGTTTTAATAGAAAGTTATGAATCCTTTAATTATTTTTCTTAAAAACCTCACGTAATTAATAAAATTATACTATCATACATATTACATTACTTCTATTATGTTAAATATCTTTTAAGAAACATGTATAATTTTAAAAAAAGTCTGTATAAGTTTGCGAATAAAAATTAACGAGTTAGTAATCGAAATAATAAAGAAAAAAAAAGAATAAACTTTGCGAATTAAGCAGTACAATATACTTTTCTTACCTCTTGCTATACGATAGACAGTACTTGATGCAAGCTTGATGAACTTGATGCTTTAACAAGATGTTCATTACGAAGGTATTTTATTAGTATTGTATAATATGTTTAGAGTTCCGTTTCTGCTTTCAAAACAAGAAATACCTAAAAAAAAAAAAAAAAGATTAGTTTCGGCAACTGAAAGAAACTAATGAAACAAAAAAAAAAAAACTACCCGATACTTATCCTTAAGACTAGCCTAGTCCCATCTCGCATCTGGTCACTGTTTCAACAAGAACTATCTAAAAAAAAAAAAATTAGTCCAGCAACTAGAAAAGAAACTAGCAAAGACAAAAAAACAAGTTGGTACTTATTCTAACAACCAGCCCGGTTTTATCTCACATCTGGTTGCTGCTTTCAAACAAGAAATGCCTAAAGAAAAAAAAATTTAATTGCAGCAACTAAAAGAGAAACTGATGAAAGACAACAAAAAAAAATTAATACTTATCTTTAAGACTAGCCCAGTCTCATTTCGCGTCCAGTTGCTGCTTTCAAACAAGAAATGTCTAAAGAAAAAACCAATTAATTTCAGCACCTAAAAGAAAACCTGATGAAAGACAACAATAAAAAATCTAATACTTATCCTTAAGACCAGTCCAGTTGCTGCTTTCAAACAAGAAATGCCTAAAGACAAAAACGATTAACTCAGCACCTGAAAGAAAACCTGATAATAAAAAAGCTAATACTTATCTTTAAGACCAGCCCAGTCTCATTTTGCGTCTA